CCCTTACACCCAGCTATTTTGCTGTTTATACGGGTTATAAAGAGTGATCATGTAATGAGTAATTAAATGATTGATTTTTTTTATATCTGGTAACTGAAATAACATTACTTTTCTGGGTGGAATGCCATTTTCCACGTAGTTTCCCAGTGTTCCTCAATATCTTATTGCATTATAGATACATCAGAATTTAATTTAATTGCGAAATAAACTATGGTGTCGTCTGCAAATTGAACCCAGTAGAAAAGCTGCAAGTGTTTTCCGGAAAAATCATGAAAAAGATGAAGAGCATTCAGACTCCTCGGAGCCTCTAATTTTAGATGTAAATCCAAATAACTGTATATAAGCCTTTTTGTTACATATCCTCTTAATGGTTAAACCATTGTAAATGGTCATGTAGATTCGTGACTATGAAAATCCATGCATCAATATTCGAACAGATTTTTGGCAGCTCTTTTGGTTTCGTGGAGTAGATTGGTTAATTGATTTATTGTCGCTTGCTTAACATACAGTGGCAATTATTTCAAGCATATTCAGGACGATCATGGAGTAAAAAATTCGTAAGGGTTCCGCGGAACCCAGTGTCTCGCCTACTTTTGTTGTTAGTCGCAGGCTCAACAAAAATGAGGAAAAAATCATTAAAAATTTTCCTCTGGATGTAAGAAGCTTCTGTCCAATTTTGGTAAAAATCCAGGATGGTTTATGAATCTAATAAATGTTTTAAAAACTTTAACTGCAAACTGTATGTAATGTTAACTGGACGAAAATCTAAGTCCATTTATAAGTAATATACGGAAAAACAGGAAATAAATTTTTACAAAATTTCCTTCTAGATACTAGCTTTTGATCATAAACAAGCTGCTGTCCAAGTTTGGTACAAATCCAGGATAGTTTAAGAAAGTTATTAAAATTTTTAAAACTTTAACCACAGAGTGAATGTAATGTTAACTAAGTCCATGTATAAGTAAAATACGGATAAACAGGATTTTTTTTTTACAAAATTTACTTCTGGATACTATCTTTTGATCATAAACAAGCTTCTGTCAAAGTTTGGTAGAAATCCAGGATAGTTTAAGAAAGTTATTAAAATTTCAAAAACTTTCACAGAGTGAATATTTGTGGACGACGACGACGGAATGTAGGATCGCTATGTCTCGCTTTTGCGACAAAAGTCGCAGGCTCGACAAAAATCGTACATATTTTATAAATAAAGTTTTTATCAAATTGGATTAGATATTTTTCATTTTATCATTTCTGAAAAGGGCTTTGGTGTCTTTACAATTAGGGTTTAACAAATAATGTTATTTTATTTTTATTTAGTTTTCTCATGGTGTACGTTTTCCTTTGCACATATCCTTACAATAAATTTCCATACACAATATTGACAACATATCATGCATAATGGTTAGGTGCCCAGTCTAATTGAGATTTGCCAAACCAATTATGACTGTGCTTAGAGTAACTATGCACTCCGTACAAAAAAATCTAGTCCAAATATAGACTGCCTATTACTTATAGTAACTGAAAAGATCAAATAAGCAGGAAAATCTTTGGACTTTTTTCTCAGTGAACCATGAGAATGAGGACAAAAATAAAAAAAAAGTCAGGCATAAACTTTACAAGTCAGTAAAAAAAATATGAATCATGTTGCACTTCTACCTTCTGAAATATGAAGCCCTATACCTCTGTACAAAACTTTTACCTTTTCACGTCACTTATTAGCATCCGTGTCTCTCCCTCTAATTTTCAACAAATATAAATCTTGTTGGTATTCTCAGTGAAAATTAGTGACCGGCTGGACAAAACATTATATGGAATGTGTATGCTCAACATCTTAATATTGACTATTGCATTTTTTAAATTCCTGCAGCAGTCTTTGACCTTTCAGAATACCAATAGGTCAAAGCTATATTTCATTCATTCATTTATTTAAACTAGGCGACTGTTTAGCTCATTTGAAAAGAAAGGTTGCATTAAGTTCAATTTATAAATGTAGATCAGTAAAATAATAAAATGCTCCACTGGGCGCAGATTGATACGACCGCAGAGGTCGAACCCTGAACAGTTGGGGCAAGTATGGACACAACATTCAAGCTTGATACAGCACTGAATTTGGATTGTGATTAAATATTTGACACAGCATAGGTTTCTGACACAGAATGAATGTGGTCTAAGAACTTAAAATTTTTTAATTTACCTATTCAAACCATATCATTATTATTTGATTTTATATATAAATCAGAAATAACCAATTTAAAATGGAAAATTTTAAAGAAGAAAAAAATCCCTCCCCTAAATTATTTGAACCCCCTTATGATTCATCACCCCCAAACTCAATCCCAGCCTTCCCTTTGTGGTATGGTACCTTGCAGTACAATTTCAGAGAGATCCATACACTTGAACACAAGTTATTGTCTGGAAACTAGAAAAATGCTTGTTTTAGGCCCCTTTTTGGCCCCAAATTCCCAAACGTTTAGGGCAATTACCCCCAAAATCAATCCCAGCCTTCCCTTTGTGGTATGGTACCTTGCAGTACAATTTCAGAGATCCATACACTTGAACACAAGTTATTGTCTGGAAACTAGAAAAATGCTATTTTTGGCCCCTTATTCCTAAACGTTTTGGGCAATTACCCCCAAACTCAATTCCAGCTTTCCCTTTGCGATATGGAACCTTGTAGTTCAATTTCAGAAAGATCCATACACTTACACACAAGTTATTATCATGAAACTAGAAAAATGCTTGTTTTTTGCCCCTTTTTTGGCCCCTAATTCCTAAAATTTTGAGGCAATTACCCCCAAAATCAATCCCAGCATTCCCTTTGTGATATGGAACCTTGTGGTACAATGTCAGAGAGATCCATACACTAACACACAAGTTATGTCTGGAAGTTACAAAAATGCTTATTTTTGGCCCCTTTTTCCATAACTGTTGGTACCATAACCCCCAAAATCAATCCCAACCTTCCTTTTGTGGTATTGAACCTTATGGTAAAATTTCATAGAGATCCATTCACTTAAACTAAAGTAGAGTGCGAAAACCAACGTGTCTTCGGACGACGACGACGCCAACGTCATACCAATATACGACCCAAAATCTTTTAATTTTTGCGGTCGTATAAAAATGTCCTTACCATATATATATATGTATTATACCAATCCAGTCAGATTTTACACAATTTCTTCACAATTAGCAGGAAGGCCTATTACCTTACCTTTACATTTTTTATACTGAACCTACCAGTCTTTGGTCCCAATTTTTGAGTATCATTGACATTGCCATGTTGTTCCCAAACTCACTGGTGATCTTTTTCGTATTGTATGTGACTATATTCAAGTTTGTAATCCAAAGCCAGATTTTTGGTTTACCATACAGCAATGTGTTTCTTCTCCAATTTCAGAAACTGTGACCTTGGTCTTGGTTGTAATTGACCTAAAAGTCAATTATTCCTCTGCTTTGAAAGTTACCATATATCCAGATTAAAGGTTATAAGCTTTTTTAGTAACTGTGACCTTCACCTTCACAAATCTGATCACAAATTGACAAGTCATCTGACTTTCATTACATGTCACTATAGTCAAACCTGTATATGAAGGTCACCCTCAAACCAGAGAAAATTGACATAAGATGCAGTAATACTAATGCATTTTGAACCTCAATTCAAAGGACACCTTAGTATTACTACATATGGAAAAGAGAAAGTGACCTGCCAAGACAGGTCTTTGTTTAATAGATGTGACCTTGACAGCTGGTTTGACTGTATATCTACATCAGATTCCAATCTCAAATAAGGAACTCCAGTATTGTATTCATCTATTCAAAACTTTGACTGACAAACTGATTGAAGGACATACCCAAACTTCCTTATTGCATGGAGTGCAATGAAAATGAAACAACTTGCTTTGACAAATTAATATACAAACAGGAAATAGTATAAATAGCATTTGTGCATTTCAAGAATGTTTAAAAATGTTTCAAAGTTGAAACAAACTGATTCGTTAATATTGTATCCAATGGCTTGTCAGACTGCAGCAAATCAGCAATATCTGTAGTGTAGGTGCAACAATTCTCATAAATTGCACCAGCACAAGTTCCCTGGATTTTAAACTTCAGTTGGAGAATTGTTATTAGTAGTTCATCAAATGTCAAGTCTGATGAAGGGCCAGATTGACTTCAATTTGATGTATTTTAATATTGCCACTTGCACGTGCTAAACAATCAGCATAACTTCTTTTGTCTCATTTGATTATTTGAGGAATACGTCCTTACAGAATTGTTTTTTTTTTTTTTTCTCTTAAACATATTTGTTTTAATAAAATTTAAAACAAATTTTAGAAAAAGCTTTTAATTAGCTAACCAAGACAAAATTTTATTAGGTACTGAAAATTGTGATTTACTTGAAATTAAGGCAACATGATACACTTCATCTGATTACAATTGGTAATACATGTAATATCAATTCATCCATAATAAATGTTCATGTACACAAGAGCTATTTTGAGTTCTTCAGCACACGCACTACTAGCTATGTTGGATTTTAGTTCTTTCGTAGAAGTGCAAGACAAAATTCATCTTATTACATTTTACATCATGAATGGATGGATTTTAAAAGAAAATAAACCATGTTTTGTACTTAACTGACATTCACAGCTGATTTTTTTAATGTTCTGACTTACAAGGTACATGTAACAGCTTGCAGGAAGACATGTCCTCCAACAAGAACACATTCTAATCCAAGGAGATCAGTTTTACTGTTACTCTTTAATGCTGCTTGCTTAGTTGAGATTTATAAAATACCAATTTTTGAGTCTTTTCATTTGACCCAGCCAGGGATCAATCCAATGTCCTGGTGTATTCAAGGTGATCATGCTACCACAAGGCCATTAGATACTTAGTGCTATATGGTATTGTGTGGGCATGTATTTACACTAATTTCATTGTGATTCAAAAATAACTGTACAAGTCTTAAGAATATATTTATATATATAAAGAAAACACAGTCATAAAAATCCTAGGAATTTTTCAGTTTTATTTTGAAAACATGTGCAGGGAGACAATACAAATGAAACTTTACAAGTAAACTTGGAACCTATGATGTCATCTGTACATACAATCACAAAGCAGCTATACTGCTGCCATATGTTTATCATTTTATCTAGAGCAATAAGCTATTAACACCACTTAACTAGTTCTCAAAATTAAAATGCAAATATATCACTAAATGCAAGTTGACACCGTCCAAATCTTTAATTTGACTGAAAATTTAAATTGGTAATTGTTTCATAATCACATTTTTAAACTAGAATTAATTGAAAATTTTGCAGTGGTTTATTTGAATTTTTATCAATATGAAACTTCATATTTTCAGACAAATAGGAAGTCAACGCAAACTTCTGATCTTTAATCTACATGTACATGGCTAAATTTGTAAGTTTTCACAGAAAAATAGTATTAAATCCAAATAAAAATTGTAAGATGTTAAAAATCTACTGCTCTAGATAAATACTATATATATTCATTAAATAATGAGATTTTCAACATGAAAGACTAATGGCATCTGTTTGTTAAACGTAAAAAATATTGTTCCATTTATTGTTTGAAGTCTTTGGCAAACACTGGTATCAGAAATAGCTTATTTACTGGTAGCACTATGTTACTATCGTAAGTTTTGAGTCTCATAAATAATTTGGGACTGAATATCACACACAGCTACCCTGCTGATAGATGTACAAAACATAAAAAATAGTTATAGGATTCCTGATAGGTACCCCAGTATGTAAAGTAGAACAGAACAAACAAAAACTATTGAGCCAGATTAAGCAATAAACCCGGTACACCCAACCCTGCACGTGTTGGGACTAGACAACCAGGAATGTAGCCATTTATACAATAATAAATTACAATAGGTATTAAAATACTGTGAACAGTTAATGATTATTTACAAGTGATGTTAGATGGAGGTCAACAACTACAGTTTTATCCAAAGTACCAAAATTATGTCTTCACGCAAGCCACAGGCCCTACAACCAAAAGTTCTAAAATTTCTATCGGCCTAAAAGAATTTCTATTTTAGACCAATAGAATCTGTACAATTTTTTTAAATGAGCATCAGGCCTGTTGCTGCAGGTGTTAATGGAGACAACTGCTTAATGTGTGAAAAATACAGTCATAGGTTTAAACCTTAAAAATATACACATTAGTATGACTATTTGGTTTAACGTGATATGGAATACATTTTGTTATCTGAACTAAATTAATATAAAAGATGAAAACTGTCTACCATAAACTTTTCATTCATAAAATAAATCAGAACAATATGAATATGGATCTGTTTTAATCTTTTTTATCTCATGTTCTGATATCACTGTATTTCATTATCACAATGCACATAGAACTGTACTATTCACATAACATTTTGAGTATTTTACAGTAAACTGCTAAAACCAAGAGCTATATAACAATTCTATTACTATAAACATAAATTATTGCTACATAAATCACAGGACCTACTCTTCTGATGTTAAATAAAACAGTCATCAGCTGTTCACAGAATTTTTGACCCAATTTCTAGTCCTTTTCTGTTGTAAACAAGATATGAACAACCCATGATTCACTGAATATAAAATTTTGCATAGTTCTTGCTCTGCTATTGAAAAAACTAAACAAAATTGCAACTGAAATTTTTTCATAAAAAATGAACAAATAAATATAAAATAGAACAACAGAGAAAAGGATTTACGACAATCTTGATTTACACTTCAATGTCTGCATTGAATACACTTTCAGCTAGTCATACTCTTAGAACACTTAGAAAATATGCAATTCTGTAAAAACAAAATAAATGATGGCATTACCAATGTTTCTTCACCAACTGAGACCCGTTCTGTGTATGTACAATAAGTCAATAAATTGGATATAACATTGATGAGACCATTTACAGGAATGATATAAATATATAAAGTCAAGGTCATGGGAACCCCAGCCCAACATTATCATTACAATAATGCATCTTCACGATTCTATAAATAAACACAACCAGTCACAAATATTATGACTAATCACACATTAATGTGTAATTTTACTATGTTTTTGTGTGTTGTCAGAATTGCATACCTTCTGTAAGCACCAATGGACAAATTACAAAAGTTCATCGCCTAGGGCCTGACATACCCCCTCTACCCCCCATGCTGCCTCTGTCTGACCTAGGACCAGGCCCAGGTCCACCTCCACTGCCTCGTATACCACCACGTCCCCCACTACCAAAGCTAGTTCCTCTTCCTCCACCCATTCCTCCTCGTGGTGGACCTCCTCTTCCACCTCCTGGAGCTCCTCCTCTTGGCTTCTTTTCTTCTACATTAAGTCTGTGTTCACCATTATATTTGATTGGCTATGTAACAAAATATATATTACAATTAGGACTCCACTATATTTGACATGCATTTAAGCTTATTTCAATTGTAATAGTTATATTGGCACCCACCAATTGAACCAGTCAGTCTCGTTACCTTTAGTCCCAATATTTGTTATACTAATAACTGCATCCTAAATGATCAAACATATCATAATAAACAGCTGCACCATGAGCGCATAATATGCCTGTCGTCTTGTGTGTGAATTTTTATGCAATAAGCATAAATAGTTTCTGACATACGGCGTGACATGCGAAAACCCCCTTTTTTTTTTTACAAAAAACTCAATATCTCTAAAATAAAATTTTGAATCAAAACCAAAAAGTATACAGATCTTTAGATTAATATAACTAAGAAGTGTGTAAAATTTTAAGCAATAATCATAAATCGTTTTTGAGATACGGCGCGACATGTGAAAACCCCCCTTTTAAAAAAAATTAAAAAAATCAATATCTCAAAAATAAAATTTTGAATCAAAACCAAAAAGTATACAGATCTTTAGATTAATATAACTAAGAAGTGTGTAAAATTTAAAGCAAAAATCATAAACTGTTTTTGAGATACGGCGCAACATGTGAAAAACCCCTCCCCCTTTTTTAACAAAATACTCAATATCTCTAAAATAAAATTTTGAATCATCACCAAAAAGTATACAGATCTTAAGATTAATATAACTAAGAAGTGTGTAAAGTTTTAAGCAATAATCATAAATTGTTTTTGAGATATGGCGCGACGTGAAAAAAAACACACACCTGTTTTAGTTACTAAGTCCCGTAACTCAAAAAGATTTAATCTTATTTTCACCAAAAAGTATACAGATCGTTTGACCATCATAAGAAACAACTATGTTAAGTTTCATGAAATTTGGATAAGTCATTCTCAAGTTACGGTGCGACATGTTTACGCCGGACAGACAGACGGACGGACACCGGACATTTGTATAACAAAATACGTCCCGTCAAAAATTGACAGGCGTATTAAAACTGCTTGTACCTTACATCTTTATAAACACAACCTCCAAGGTTTCTACATTTCCTGGTGTTACATTTGATTTTTTAAAAAAACAAGGCACTTGTGAGTACTGAGGTAGAAAAGATTGCTTTCAGTTTGCAATGTGAGAACAGATATTAAATCAAACATGACATTGTAATTAAGGGTCCCCATTAAGAAATCTAGGGGAGTTATTTTTAGGATTTCTCCCATGAAATTCATCTATTTTCAAGGATAGTATCACAACACAAAGAAGGGAGAAACCATCAGTTACTTCTGACCGGAAGAGTTTGGAAAATTCTACAAAAATTTGTGAAAGAGATGCCACTCTAGCTAGTTTTTGCTAATGGAATTGAGAAAATTGCAATTATATCAAAAGACCAAGTTCACATGCTACCTGTTTATCATTAACCTTCCTATAATAATGAAAAACAACCACAAGAATCATGTTTCAATATCTTAAATACTTTGGATTCATTATTATTAGTGGGATACCAATTTTCAGGGATTTCGTGGGTACAGGTAAACCATGAATCTTAAATGTTCAACGAATTACAAATATGCTAAATATATGCAGACTTTGGGAAACCATGCAATCAAATATCCACGAAAATGCAAGTTTTCCTCAATCTGCAGTTTCAAGGCATTCTCAAGGATTTCCCCCCTTTTCTTGGAAAAATTCAATGGAACAGATTGAAGAATTTTCTGCAATTTTTATTTATTACAATGATAGCCGAAAATTGTGTGATTTTACTATGGATAGAATCTAAAGGAATATACCCACAAAAGAGGCGTGTCCAATATAGCTAACCAGCTGGTGGAATTAGACAAGAGCATTTTCTATCCAAACAACTAATATGCTCATTTTATAAATGTTCTTAAAATTATCAAAACTATTTTACTGGTGTGCTCATGAACTTGAATATATTGAAAACCAACTAATTGCCCAGATTTTTTTTCAAATGTGAATTTCTTCAGTAAATTCAAGAAAATGCAATATTTTTTCATGTTGAAAAATGTTGTGTTTTATATTTTGATATTGAAAACTTTACGTATATTACCTACCTTTTGACTAAGAATACTTTGAACTGGCTCTGGACTATCAAATATCACAAATCCAAAATTCTATAATAATCATAAAAATAGTTAACTGGTCTGAAAATCTAATATATCAATAATTTACAACTAACTCAAGCATTTTAAAACAAAATAGAATAGCCACTAGCTTCTTTATTCTCACATAAAACTCTTAATAGCAATTGAATTAATTATCTTTTAAATTGATCACTTCAAAAGAAAGTTCATTAAAATCAATCAATCAGAAAAAAAAAAAAATAATAAAATCAATCAATCAGAAAAAAAAAATATATTAAAATCAACAGAGAAAAATAAATGTAGCAATCAATAATACTAAAATAAGGTCATATAACATTAAATTCCTGGATCTCAAGGTCTCTTGTATCTCGTTTTCTAACAATTTTTTGGTAATGAAAAATCTTGTATTTTTTTTTACCATACTGACAACAATTATTTTTCAAAATCAAGACTTCCATTGTTTTTGTGGATTCAAATAAAAGAGTCATTTATTGCTGTAAGATCCTGAATTCACATAAAAACTGGAAAAAAAATCCTCAATAAGACTGGAGAATGGAAGCTCAAGAACATCAAAATTCAGACCTCATATGATATACAATTAAAGAGAACTAGTGTTATCCACTACTGTGAAATTCCAACAAGCAGTTTTGAATGTAATTTACACGCCAGGGATACTTATTTCATGATACGGTGGTACCTGAGAACCAGATCGTTTACTGTATATGACCTGATACATATATGATGATGATGATGATGATGAATGAATGGACTGAAGGGAAGTGGTAGAAAATAAAAAGCAAAATGATCAGATATTCATTCTTTCAACATCTAATATAGCAAATACTTTGGACCAATTTCTCTACTATTTCCATTTTAATATTTGTATGACACACATTGTATGCCATGCATCAGAACACCATTGTATAAAGGCTGGGATGGACTGGGCTGGAGGTAATGAAGTATAATAATGTGATGTACCTTCTGGTTACTTACAGGAAGTTTTCCACCACTACTTTTGGTATTAATTCGTAATTCAACAACATGACCGAATTCTGAAACAATAATAAGAGTTATCTACTAAATAAACAATGAATAAATAGTATCAAAGCATTTAGTTTGTAATGCTAAATCTAAATGTGAAATCTTAAAAATAAAAGATGAACTTTCAAGACAACTGATGAGTAATTCAATGTTTGTGTGGAGGAAAAGGAAAAGAGATTGAGAGAGGCATTTACAAAATGTATAATAACCCAAACCATGAATAATATTAATTTTTACAATTCTATAAAATTCTTTAAAGATTTTGCAAGAAAAACACAACCATCTACCAATTGATAAGGCACCCCATATAACAATTCTGGACCAGCCTTTTAGCAGGTTCATTATAATCTGATCATATTTATATCTCACAAAGAATGCAAGTTCATAGAAACTTCTGACTGGATCATATACACCATTTCTATAATACAATTATTTCTGTTTTGCTATCTTGATTCTTTTTGTTGTGTTTTTTTAAACAAATAGAGTGTAGACAGACTGACAAAAAACTACTGTATTCAGGCTTGTAAAGTCCACACTGATTTATTGTCCGTACCCCCCTTTTCGTCACGTGAATTAAAGAAAAAAACTTTTTGTTACAGCTTGGAAAAGTTGTATGAAACTCTGGTAATTTCAAATCGTGTGTGATTGTTTATAACCTGTTTTCCATCATAAAGTAGAAGTTGAAAATGCTTGTAAATGATTCAAAAAAGGCAAAATCATGAATAAACAATTGGGAAAGTAGTATTTCGGATTAACTGGAAGTTCGTATAGCACGTGTAAATTGAAATTACAGTGAGAGTGTGCTAAAAATCTGTACTTCATAGTTATAACTAGAATACAACTTTGAAACTAAAACAGTTCCGTTCACAGAACGAATAACCGATATCGTTTTGTAGTTTATACATTGTAATGAAATAAGCAGGTTCCTGGCTGTTTTATATACTTTTTTCATTCCGGTAAATACAAGCGGATTCAAGTTTATGGTATGCAATGCTATGAAAAGAAACGAGTACTTTGTAATGAAGCATTTAATTTTGATATTTATCAGTTAATATTGGGTTTTGAATTAAAATTGCATATCATTATGGATTGGGTAAATTACTAGTTTTGAAAATTATAAGGGTGTCCATTACATTTTCAATAACAAACATGGCAGTATGTAAACAAATCTCGCGAAATTGAGTTATTCTCTTATTTCGTGCTTATCATACCTTATAATCTGCATCCCTGCCTGGCAAAATTAATTTCGGAGAAAAAAAAAAACGTGACTATACAAGCCTGGTATGATTCAATGTAATTTATACATATGTAGATAATGAACAGTATATAAAATAAATATCTACAGTTATTATGTATAGATTCTATCTATCTATAATTGTTTTTAAGATACTAGGCATTAATGCAAAAAAATGGTAAAAAGTGTCATTATAGGGCAATAACTCTAATAAGGAGTCATCCGATGATTTTGGTCATGTTGACTTATTTACAGATCTTGTCTTGCTGATAATTTTTGCTCTTTAAAAATTCTGTCTATTATAGTTTTCGAGATAATAGGCAAAAATTTTTAAAAATGGTAAAATTTGTCTTTTAAGGGCTATAACTCCTATAACACGTCATCTAGCAGTTTAGACATATACATATTGACAAATTATCATATGTAAGAGCTCAACATTCTGCACATTTCTGCCTCTGTCAGATTTTCTCTATTTATAGCAGTTTTCGAAATGATAGGACAAACTTGCATTTTACCCCTATGTTCTATTTGATCTGACTTTTGTGCTAATAAGCATTGTGAATAAGTATCATAATATTTGGTTGAGGCAAATTTAAGTTAGAGAACGGAAACCAATTTCCGGATGTACAGACGTACAAGGGTAACACTTAATGCCTCCTCCGATGCGACGAGAAATAAATATCCTCCCCTCCACGTCATATCTAAGTGGAAGGGATTTAAAATCTATGATTATATAAATCTGACATCAGTATCTTGACAAAATAATAAAGATTCTGATTCTGTATACAACACTTGCAAAGTTAGGAAAAGAACTGAACTTACTTGTAAAAAAATCCTCTAATTCTTTTTCAGTAATATTATGCGGTAAGTTTCCAACAAACAATTGATGACTGTCTGGAAAACGAGATCTTTGACGCCCACTTTGACTATCACTGTCACCATCATCACGTGACATGCTGACTCTTTCCCTTTCTCTTGGTCGATTATCTCTAGGCCTGAAAAATTATAGTTAAATTTCCTTTTTATTCCTTGATTTCAAGATATATGAGTAAGCAATATAATACTTTTGTCAATTTGTTTTAAAATACACAAAAATTTCTTCAAATGACATATATCCTAAAATCAAATCATTTAATGATAACTTGAGCTATCAGACTCTGTTCCAAGCCAAGGTGTTATTCTTTCTTATTATCAGACACAAGAACTCATTATTTGGCTTTTTGCTTGTTTCTCAAATCGCATAACTTTATCATACAATCATTTATAAATGACAGCTGTTCTTTTCTTCATTTAAATTGTTGAGTAATGACTACACTTCATAAAACAAAATAATTATATTTTTAAACTGAGCCAGTTATTAGCTAGCTAAAAATGATGGGTGCAGCTCCCCTCTCCTCTTATAGTCCTTGCCCTATCCATTTATGTTTCTGATGAAAATTAAACACTTCTTAATGAAAAAACAATCATTTGAATTATTGGAAAAATCTTTATAGCACTGAATATCATTAATTCTGAAAAATACATACAATTTTATATTTCTTTTTATCTTTAAACATAATAAAAGTGCCCCTTTTCAGACAAAAATAAAATGCTCCGCTGGGGCGCAGCTTGATACGACCGTAGAGGTCGAACCCTGAACAGTTGGGGCAAGTATGGACACAACATTCAAGCTTGATACAGCACTGAATTTGGATTGTAATTAAATATTTGACACAGCATAGGTTTCTCACACAGAATGAAAGTAGTCTAAGAACTTAAAATTTTTTAATTTACCTATTCAAACCATATCATTATTATTTGCTTTTATATATAAATCAGAAATAACCAATTTAAAATGGAAAATTTTAAAGAAAAAAAATGAAAAAAAAATCCCCCCCCCAAATTTTTTGAAACCTCCTTATGATTCATCACCCCCAAACTCAATCCCAGCCTTCCCTTTGTGGTATGGTACCTTGCAGTACAATTTCAGAGAGATCCATACACTAGAACACAAATTATTGTCTGGAAACTAGAAAAATGCTTGGGTTTTTTGTACCTTTTTGGCCCCAAATTCCTAAAAGTTTAGGGCAATTACCGCCAAACTCAAACCAAGCTTTCCCTTTGTGATATGGAACCTTGCAGTACAATTTCATAAAGATCCATACACTTACACACAAGTTATTGTCATGAAACTAGAAAAATGCTTGTTTTTTTGCCCCTTTATGGCCCCTAATTCCTAACATTTTGAGACAATTACCCCCAAAAACAATCCCAGCCTTCCCTTTGTGGTATGGTACCTTGCAGTACAATTTCAGAGAGATCCATACACTTGAACACAAGTTATTGTCTGGAAACTAGAAAAATGCTTATTTTTGGCCCCTTATTCCTAAACGTTTTGGGCAAGTACCCCCAAACTCAATTCCAGCTTTCCCTTTGTGATATGGAACCTTGTAGTACAATTTCATAAATATCCATACACTTACACACAAGTTATTGTCATGAAACTAGAAAAATGCTTGTTTTTTGCCCCCATAATTCCTAAAATTTGGAGGCAATTACCCCCAAAATCAATCCCAGCATTCAAACCCTCAATCAGCATCATTTAACAGTAATATCTAAAAATGGAAATTACATAATAAAGGTATTAAAATAGAAAATGACATCATAGTCATGGCTAAAAATAAACAAAATCCTTAATCAGCAACATTTTACAGTAATATCTAAAAATAAAATTCCTTTGTAACCATAAAAGCCCATTTAAATACATCATGACAGATATTAAAATAGAAAATGACATCATAGTCATGGCTAAACATAGCAAAAACCTTAATCAGCATCATTTAACAGTAATATCTAAAAATAAAAATTTCTTTGCAACCATAAAAGTAAAATAGAAAATGACATCATAATCATAGCTAAAAATAAACAAAAATTTTTTTTATTACCAAATTTTAAATGGAGTTTATTAAACTAAAACAATAAATTTGCAACCATAAAACCCCATTTAAACACATCATAAAAGTATTAAATAATTCAACTACATCATAAGGCTATAAAAATAGAAAATGACTTCATAGTCAAGGCTAAAGGTAAACAAAAAACCTTCATCAGCAAAATTTTATATTGGCAAATTTCCAATGAAGTTTATTATACTAAAATTGTTGGCAAATTTCCAATGCATTTATTAACAATAAAGTTATTGGCAAATTTCCAATTTACATAATTTAAAAGCAGTGTAAGTGAGATATTTAAATGAGTTTGAATTACCAACCTTACACTGCTTTTAAATAATGTTTTGTACTTATTTGTCTATTAACCTGGAAACCCTTGTTTTTTCACCTTTTTTTCCCTTATTATTTAAAGGTTTGAGCCATAACCCTACCCCAAAGCCAATTCTTAAATTCCAATGTAACCTAAATTTACAATATACATAACTTCAATTTAAGTTTTTGATAAAATCAAACCACATCATTATTATTTGCTTTTATATCTAAATCAGAAATAATTAACCAACTTTAAGTGGAAAATTTTCACACATCACGCCCCCCCAAACTCAATCCCAGCCTTCAGTTTGTGGTATGGTACCTTGCAGTACAATTTCACAGAGATCCAATTACTTAAACACAATTAATTGTTGGAAACTAAAAAAAAATGCTTATTTTTAACCCCTTTTTTAGCCCCTTATTCCTAAACATTTGAGCAATTATCCCCCAAACTCAATTCCAACTTTCTCTTTGTGATCAGAATTAACCAACTTAAAATGGAAAATTTTAAAGAAAAAAAAAGGAAAAAAAATCCCCCCCCCCAAATTTGTTTACCCACTTCCCTTTGTGGTATGGTACCTTTAAGTACAATTTCAGAGAAATCCATACACTTGAACACAAGTTAATGTCTGGAAACTAAAAAAATGCTTATTTTTGCCCCCTTTTTTGGCCACTTATTAATAAATGTTTTGGGCAAACATTTTACAATAATATTTAAAACTGAAATTAATTTGTAACCTTAAAATTAAATAGAAAATGACATCATAGTCATAGCTAAAAATAAACAAACTATTGGTAAATTTCCAATATAAAATTGGCAAATTTCCAATGAAGTTTATTATACTAAAATAATTGGCAAATTTCCAATTTACATAATTCAAACATAGTGCAGGTGAGATATTTAAATGAGTTTGAATTACCAACCTTACACTGCTTTTAAATAATGTTCTTTACTCAATTATTTGTCTATTAAAATGGAAACCCTAGTTTTTTAACCTTTTTTCCCCTTATTCCTTAAACGAAAAAAAATAATTACCTCTTTTTTGACCCCCCCCCCCCCTATGATTCATCACCCCCCCCTTCCCCCCCAAACCAAGCTCAATAACAGCCTTGCCTTTGTGGTATGGTACCTTGTAATACAATTTTAGAGAGATCCATACACTTGAACACAAGTTATTGTCTAGAAACTAAAAAATGCTTATTTTTTACCCCTTTTTAGGCCCCTTATTACTAAACGTTTTGGGCAATTACCACAAAACTCATTTCCAGCTTTCCCTTTGCGAAATGGAACCTTGTAGTAAAATTTCAGAAAGATCCATACACTTACACACAAGTTATTGTCATGAAACTAGAAAAATGCTTGTTTTTTGCCCCCTTTTGGCCCCTTATTCCTAAAATTTCGAGGAAATTAACCCCAAAATCAATCCCATCATCGACCCTTTGTGATATGGAATCTTGTAGTACAATGTCAAAGAGATCCATACAATAACACACAAGTAATGTCTGGAAGTTACAAAAATGCTTATTTTCGGCCCCTTTTTGGCCCCTAATTATTTAACTGTTGGTACCATAACCCCCAAAATCAATCCCCACCTTCCTATTGTGGTATTGAACCTTATGGTAAAATTTCATAGAGATCCATTCACTTAAACTAAAGTTAGAGTGCGAAAACCATTGTGTATTCGGACGACGACGCCGCCGGACGACGACGACGACGCCGACGCCAACATCATACCAATATACGACCACAAAATTTTTTTGCGGTCGTATAAAAACTCAAATGTGCCCTTCATCCTAAAACTGTGCCCCTCTATCACTAAATCCTAGCTAGAACACTGTGAACCCAATAAAATTTCTACCTTGTTTGTCTCTGTGGTTGTGGTGCTGAACCAGGTGCCGTTGATCCAATGTCTGTCTTCATCTCCTGTCTGTTTGGTAGAGACTGTGGAACTTTACCAAATGGAGGGGATGTAGTATTAGCTGGTACAGAGCTTGACGTAGCATTCTTACTGGCAATACCAGCCCAGGAGAAAGTCTTCTGTTCTGCTAACCAAAATATTTGAAATTAAGTACAAATATTTCAACTGACAGTGCTATCATTGGAAAGGCGGGAAGGTGTTGTTTAAGGATTAAGATCATCAAATTTCTTTATCTTCCATAAATACTATTTATAAAACAACTGGTATAAAAACATTGTATAAAGCATTAGAAGGCATTACAATGAATTGTCTTTCTTTTTTAATAATTGTAGTTAGTTCAACTACAACTATGGACAAAGGAAGATAACACCAATTTTAAATCTTAATTTAACAATGGTATTGATACTTTGAGAACAGATACATGCCATACATGACTTTTTTATGGTTAAACACATACACATCATTTAGCAACTTGAATATAATTGAAATTATATTTTGAAACGTTCATGAATATGATGTATAGAAGGTTGTGCTCAATGCATTATTTTTTTTATCTAAAAAGAGACAGAAATGTTTAAAGCCCCTTATTTAGTATTGCTTGGAAAAAGTTCTAAGGTAATTTAATTTGGCCTTTGTATGTTGATGGACATCTGAGGGATAGTCATTTGCACAAATGTATATTCTCTTTTGAGAGTAGTAAAACTGCCATCTGGTTTCAAAAATAAGCTATTTTGTTATACTCCTAGACAGGAAGAAAACAGAAATATGTAGAAGTTAAACAACATGACAATGAAAGAAGATGTTTATACCCATAAATTGGATGGTCATTTGACCGGATTGTTCAGGTTCTACTTCTTCTGTCTGTGTTTCTATTGTTTCCTCTTCCTTCAGGTCAAATATTTCCTCTGTTTGTGTGTTAATTGGTTCTTCTTTCACTTCTTCCTCTTCAGGAGAAGGTGATGGGGTATCAACTCGATCATCATGTGTACCATTGCTGAAATAAAAAAAATAGGGCATATAAAAATTTATTTTTAAATTCTGTTCATTGCCCAAGATGCTTCTAAAGCTTTTGCTTTCAATGTTTTACAACAACAAAATTAGAATTGTGTGCTTATCTTTTAGGGTAGGAGAAACTGTTGGCCAAATAGACAAATAACCATAATCAATTATCATAAATGGATATATATATATATATATGTTGTACATCATAAATACTTCATCACAAACCCACATAAGAAGAATTACTGAGGGGACAGGAACTCGTATACTGTCGCAATTGAAATGCTTGGATATTGATGTAGCTGCTTTCAAAATCTCTGAAATGTTTCATTAGTATTTATTTTGAAACAAAACTTATCAAAAAGCACATCATTAGGTGTTGATGAAAACTAATATAGTAAATGATGGAGGAAAAATAATGCCTACATTTGGACTCCCGCAATGTTCATTTGACGTGAAAACTTTGTCAGGACTATTCCATCAAAATGGATGTTGGATGGAAGGAAGTGCCATTTAATTTTGGACATGGGTCATACATGGTTGTATATTTATTTGATGTATGTAAAGATATTCCTAAAAAGTATGTTGGTTATGGTGTGTATTTGGTGTCTATTCCTACCTCCCACATCTATTTCATGGAATATCCCTCGGCACTTCTCATCGTCTTTTTGTTATACGATCATTTAACATAATTTAGTTAATTTTGTTGTCGCAGAACTTGTTTCTTCTGTGTGCCTTTTTTCTTTTGTAAAGGTAGAAACTGTTACTAGATAAAACAATATAATTTGAACTCCTGTTATTCATATACAAAATCCTTTCATTAATTACCTCAACTGTGGACTGGCATCATAGAACTGTTGTACAGGTTCCTGACCGTGATCCTGGTTTAGATCAACTGGATCTAAGTCAGAATCTATAATAAAAATTAACAATCAATTTAAGACGATATCTATGCACATACACTATACATTTGTAGGAGTATTCTTAACATTTTGGAAAAACTTTGAAATTGAAAAATTCTGTGATTAAGGAAAGGAAATTAATTTTTGTTGGATCTAATGTCCAATTAAACATACAGGCTTAATAAACATATACGTGTTCTGAAAGTAGCCTAAAAATATTTCATAACAAACATAAACTGTTAACACAGAGATATGTCTCGCTTATCGGCATAAAATTCAGAAAAAGACAATCTGATGGACAGCAACATTGCTTGTTAATTCAGTCACTGGACCATGATCTAGTGGGCAGGGCCTGAAAATGGTCAACAAACTGAGATGTACAGACAAAAATGTAACTTTATAGAAAATATCGTTGTTTATTATAAATAGTTCCTATCAATATAACTTAAGCAGAAAAACTTAACATTGAAAATTGCTAATTGATTCAAAGTCACTGGACTATGACAAAGGGGGCAGGGCCTCAAAATGTCATCAAACTGATATGAACTGATAGTAATGCAACTTCATACAAAATAAAATTGATCTATCACAAGCAGATCCTATCAAACTAACTAAAGCAGAATATTTAACATTGAAAATTGCTAATTAATTCAAAGTCACTGGACCTTGTCCTAGGGGGCAGGGCCTCAAAATAGTCATCAAACTGATATGTACTGATAGTAATGCGACCTCATATAAAATATCATTGATCTATCACGAGTAGATCCTATCAAACTAACTTAAGCAGAAAACTTCCCAACATTGAAAATTGCTAATTAATTCAAAGTCACTGGACCATGTCCTGGGGGCAGGGCCTCAAAATAGTCATCAAACTAATATGTACTGATAGTAATGCGACTTCATACAAAATATCATTGATCTATCACAAGTAGATCCTATCGAACTAACTTAAGTAGAAAACTTAACAATTGTTGACGCCAGAGCCAGAGGAAAAGCAATCCCTGTCTCGCTTTCCGTGACTAAAGTGGCGTTGCAGGCGAGACTAAAAATTGTTGCTTAAACAAATTCTTATAAAATGACTGAAATATAACAATCATTGTGAAGGCAACAACAGACTGACAACTGTTGATTGTATCAAGATGACTGCCATTTTGGATTTTAAAGAAAGTTTTCAGTCAAAATAAGTCCTTTGACGTTGTCTCTTCACTCAAAAACATAGTTCTCAATAGATAACCTATTCATCAGATCAGCCTGCTGATTTCAGAAATGACAACCATTTTAAACTTGAAATTGCCTATGTGCCCATAAAAATATGCACCCATAGACCATTAATAAATGCTGATTTTTTCTCATCACCTTAATCAATAGATATCCTTACTTCTTTAAGGAAATATTACTAACCAATTTCATCACCAAGACCCTCTTCAAGATTTTCCATATCACTATCATTATCATGGAATACTTCATCCTGGTACCGGAAAATATCATTATGAACATAATATTTCTTTGGTGACTGTGGTGCAAGAACAAATGTCTGCATGAATCTTCTCATTGGCTGACCGCTATTTGACAGCTCTCCTGTAACCTGAATTATATGAAAGATCTTATTCCATATTCAAAATTAGATCTATAATTAAAGAGTATTTCTATAATGCATTAACATTCAAATATCCCTCAAAAATAAATATTATCTTTGATACATAAAAATTAGTATCTATCTACCATCTTTTTTATTATAAAATTATTTTAGAGTACAGAGGAAAAGGATAAATTTAAACTCCCCACAAAAATGGTGACCACTATCATAACTATTTATATTCATGATAAACAGGTGATTGACTGTGGCCATTGAAATCAAATTAAAAGAACAAAACCTCTGGTCTGAATCCATAGAAAAGCTGACAAAAGATAGAACTGGAGTTCTCAGTGTCAATTAAAACTACTAACCTGGACAACAACTGCATTACCAACAGTAGCTTGGCTGTCAACCTGTCGGATCTTGGCATGGCAATCTCTGAAGTTTAGAGACATAATCTTTTTGTGTATTTCCTGGAGAAAAAAAATTACATATAGTGGGAATTTTAATGCAAGAGAAGAAATTTTCTCCTCATCTTGTAAATTTGTGTCTTCAATATTTAACAAGTTCTGAAAGAGGACATTTTACACTATTCTAGTAATAAAAAGGACTCTCAGCTCAATATTAAATATATCAAAGTGCTTGTGAGCATTGAAGCATAAGGATTGCTTTCACTTTGAAATGTGAATTAAAAGTTTAACATTGAATTTAGTAAAGCTGAATAATACGCATTTAGACAAAATTCTTAATTGGGAGTTATCATCCTTTGTTCATAATTCTAGCTTCTATTGGAGCAGATTGATTGTAGCCATGCCATATTTTTAAGGTGGACCCCTAATATGAGGCAGGTGCTACCGGATTAGCTCAGGAAGATTATTGTATTTTTTTACAAGTCAACTTGGCATGTTTGTTTAACTTGTAATAATGTTTTGATAAAATTCCTGAGAAATATGAATAAAATGCTTCGCTGGGCGCAGCTTGATACGACCGCAGAGGTCGAACCCTGAACAGTTGGGGCAAGTATGGACACAACATTCAAGCTTGATACAGCTCTGAATTTGGATTGTGATTAAATATTTGACACAGCATAGGTTTCTGACACAGAAAGAATGTGGTCTAAGAACTTCAATTTTTTTAATTTACCTATTATGGTCCAATGTCCAAAATCAAAATACATGGTTAGATTCAGCATATCAAAGAACCCCATATATTCAATTTTTGTTGAAATCAAACAAAGTTTAATTTTGGACCCCAACTTGGACCAACTTGAAAACTGGTCCCATAATCAAAAATCTAAACACATGTTTAGATTCAGCATATCAAAGTACCCCAAGAATTCAATTTTTGTTAAAATCAAACTAAGTTTAATTTTGGACCCTTTGGACCTTAATGTAGACCAATTTAAAAAACGGGACCCAAAATTAAAAATCTAAAAACACGGTTAGATTTGGCATATCAAAGAACCCCAATAATTCAATTTTTGATGAAATCAAACAAAGTTTAATTTTGGACCCTTTTGACCTCAATATGAACCAATTTGATAGCAGGCCCACAAAATAAATAAAATGCTCCGCTGGGGCGCAGCTTGATACGACCGCAGAGGTCGAACCCTGAACAGTTGGGGCAAGTATGGACACAACATTCAAGCTTGATACAGCACTGAATTTGGATTGTAATTAAATATTTGACACAGCATAGGTTTCTGACACAGAATGAAAGTGGTCTAAGAACTTAAAAATTTTCAATTTACCTATTCATACATGTGATGGACTGTGAAACTCAGATCAGGAGATTGGGAAATTTTGGTCAGGAGATTAGGACTCAGATCAGGAGGTTTTTAATCGACATTAATTTTGTTGTAAATGTAACCGTGTGCTGTAAAAATGGTCTTTTAAAGTGTGTTTTCTTCAACTTTCCAACCAATTTATTATGTTTATAGTACCCTTATAAAGTTTCTCCATCTTTATATTCTACATGTTCAATCTAACATTGTTTTTTTCCAGTATGTTCTTTAAATTTTTTACTTCATATTCTATAAAACAATCATTGCAACCAGAACATTTGTTTAGCTGTCTGCAAATAGTTTTTATTTTTTTTTTTTTCTCTTACAAATAGTTTATATTTGCAAACTCAGAAATTCATTCTATCTGTAAAGTTAGGGTCATAGTTATTATATAAATTTCAATTTAAGCCTTAAAAGGAAGTATAGAATCCTCAAATAATTTTCAAATTATTATTTTTTTATTTGTCCTAAGACATTTAAAATCATTTAATAACCATCCTTTTATGATTATTTGTTCAATTTATATTTTATTTATATTCTTTTAAAAATTTTCATTATTAAAAGGAAAGTAACTTAAAACAGGATAAATCAAGGGAAGTAACCCAATAAATACACAGTTTTTGTTACACAACGGCAGTTAGCCTGAGGTAAAAATCGTTGCTTACCAGTATGTTTGACACCCAAGCTGACAAGTGAAGCCATATAATTATGCATGTTAATTGATTTACAGGTAAAATATAACTTCAGGTAATGTCAGTTACACCAGATGCCTGAGATGTTATGTTGGGCAGAAATTTTTCATTCATGAAAAATTTCATACACGGGATTTTTTCAACGGGAGGGGGGGAGGAGACCCCTGAAAACGGGATTATTGTACTCCCGTCGGGAGGTTCACATGTATGCCTATTCAAACCATATCATTATTATTTGCTTTTATATATAAATCAGAAATAACCAATTTAAAATGGAAAATGTTCAAGAAAAAAAAGGAAAAAAAAAATCCCCCCCCCCAATTTTTTGAACCCCCTTATGATTCATCGCCCCCAAACTCAATCCCAGCTTTCCCTTTGTGGTATGGTACCTTGCAGTACAATTTCAGAGAGATTCATACACTTGAACACAAGTTATTGTCTGGAAACTAGAAAAATGCTTGTTTTTTGGCCCCTTTTTGGCCCCAAATTCCTAAACGTTTAGGGCAATTACCCCCAAACTCAATTCCAGCTTTCCCTTTGTGATATGGAACCTTGCAGTACAATTTCATAAAGATCCATACACTTACACACAAGTTATTGTCCTGAAACTAGAAAAATGCTTGTTTTTTTTGCCCTTTTATGGCCCCTAATTACTAAAATTTTGAGGGAAAACCCCCAAAATCAATCCCAGCCTTCCCTTTGTGATATGGAACCTTGTAGTACAATTTCATAAAGATCCATACACTTACAAACAAGTTATTGTCATGAAACTAGAAAAATGCTTGTTTTTTGCCCCTTTTTGGCCCCTAATTCCTAATATTTGGAGGAAATTACCCCAAAAATCAATCCCAGTATTCCCTTTGTGATATGGAACCTTGTAGTACAATTTCATAAAGATCCATACACTTACAAACAAGTTATTGTCATGAAACTAGAAAAATGCTTGTTTTTTGCCCCTTTTTGGCCCCTAATTCCTAAAATTTGGAGACAATTACCCCCAAAATCAATCCCAGCATTCCCTTTGTGATATGGAACCTTGTGGTACAATGTCAGAGAGATCCATACACTTACACACAAGTTATGTCTGGAAGTTACAAAAATGCTTATTTTTGGCCCCTTTTGGCCCCTAATTCCTTAACTGTTAGTACCATAACCCCCAAAATCAATCCCCACCTTCCTTTTGTGGTATTGAACCTTATGGTAAAATTTCAATGAGATCCATTCACTTAAACTAAAGTTAGAGTGCGAAAACTAATGTGTATTCGGACGACGACGACAACGTCATACCAATATACGACCACAAAAAATTTTTTGAGGTCGTATAAAAATCTAAATACATGGTAAGATTCAGCATATCAAAGAACCCCATATATTCAATTTTTGTTGAAATCAAACAAAGTTTAATTTTGGACCCCAATTTGGACCAACTTGAAAACTGGGCCAAAAATCTAAATTCTAAATACATGTTTAGATTCAGCATATCAAAGAACCCCATATATTCAATTTTTGTTGAAATCAAACAAAGTTTAATTTTGGACCCCAACTTGGACCAACTTGAAAACTGGTCCCATAATCAAAAATCTAAACACATGTTTAGATTCAGCATATCAAAGAACCCCAAAAATTCAATTTTTGTTAAAATCAAACTAAGTTTAATTTTGGACCCTTTGGACATTAATGTAGACCAATTTAAAAAACGGGACCCAAAATTAAAAATCTAAATACACGGTTAGATTTGGCATATCAAAGAACCCCAATAATTAAATTTTTGATGAAATCAAACAAAGTTTAATTTTGGACCCTTTTGACCTCAATATGAACCAATTTGATAGCGGGCACACAAATAAAAAATCTAAATACATGGTTAGATTCAGCATATCAAAGAACCCCATATATTCAATTTTTGTTGAAATCAAACAAAGTTTAATTTTGGACCCCAATTTGGACCAACTTGAAAACTGGGCCAAAAATCTAAAATCTAAACACATGTTTAGATTCAGCATATCAAAGAACCCCATATATTCAATTTTTGTTGAAATCAAACAAAGTTTAATTTTGGACCCCAACTTGGACCAACTTGAAAACTGGGCCCATAATCAAAAATCTAAACACATGTTTAGATTCAGCATATCAAAGTACCCCAAGAATTCAATTTTTGTTAAAATCAAACTAAGTTTAATTTTGGACCCTTTGGACCTTAATGTAGACCAATTTAAAAATGGGACCCAAAATTAAAAATCTAAATACACGGTTAGATTTGGCATATCAAAGAACCCCAATAATTCAATTTTTGATGAAATCAAACAAAGTTTAATTTTGGACCCTTTTGACCTCAATATGAACCAATTTGATAGCGGGTCCACAAATAAAAAATCTAAATACATGGTTAGATTCAGCATATCAAAGAACCCCAAGAATTCAATTTTTGATGAAATCAAACAAAGTTTAATTTTGGACCCTTTTGACCTCAATGTGGACAAAGTTGATAACGGGGCCCAAAAATCAAAAATCTAAATACATGGTTAGATTCAGCATATCAAAGAACCCCATATATTCAATTTTTGTTGAAATCAAACAAAGTTTAATTTTGGACCCCGATTTGGACCAACTTGAAAACTGGGCCCATAATCAAAAATCTAAATACATGTTTAGATTCAGCATATCAAAGTACCCTAAAAATTCAATTTTTGTTAAAATCAAACTAAGTTTAATTTTGGACCCTTTTGACCTTAATGTAGACCAATTTGAAAACTGAACCAAAAATTAAGAATCTAAATACACGGTTAGATTCGGCATATCAAAGAACCCCAATAATTCAATTTTTGATGAAATCAAACAAAGTTAAATTTTGGACCCTTTGGACCTCAATGTGGACCAATTTAAAAACGGGGCCCAAAATCCAAAAACTTAATACACGGTTAGATTCAGCATATTAAAGAACCCCAAGAATTCAAGAATAAAACCCCATTGAAATTGATCAAGAAATAAGCAATTTATACGAAGTATCTTCTTTTGCACAATACTGTGCAATTGAATATTTCTTGCTATTGTGCAATACTGTACAATTGACAATTTCTTGCTATTGCGCAATATTGTGCTATTGGATATTTCTTGCTATTGCGCAATACTGTGCAATTGAAGATTTCTTGCTATTGCGCAATACTGTGCAATTGAAGATTTCTTGCAATTGTGCAATACTGTGCAATTGAAAATTTCTTGCTATTGCACAATACTTATTATATAATAATTTACACATCCTGTTTGGTGTGTATCTCCTTCCATATCATTATTATTTGCTTTTAAATATTAATCAGAAATACCCAACTTAAAATGGAAAATTTTAAAAGAAAAAAAAAAAGGAAAAAAAGAAAACCCCCCCCCCCCCCCAAATTTTTTGAACCCCCTTATGATTCATCACCCCCAAACTCAATCCCAGCCTTCCCTTTGTGGTATGGTACCTTGTAGTACAATTTCAGAGAGATCCATACACTTGAACACAAGTTATTGTCTTGAAACTAGAAAAATGCTTATTTTTGGCCCCTTTTTGGCCCCCAATTCCTAAACGTTTCTGGCAATTACCCCCAAACTCAATTCCAGCTTTCCCTTTGTGATATGGAACCTTGTAGTACAATTTCAGAAATATCCAAACACTTACACACAAGTTATTGTCATGAAACTAGAAAAATGCTTGTTTTTTGCCCCTTTTTTGGCCCCTAATTCCTAAAATTTTGAGGCAATTACCCCCAAAATCAATTACAGCCTTCCCTTTGTGATATGGAACCTTGTGGTACAATGTCAGAGAGATCCATACACTTACACACAAGTTATTGTCTGGAAGTTACAAAAATGCTTATTTTTGGCCCCTAATTCCTTAACTGTTGGTACCATAACCCCCAAAATCAATCCCCACCTTCCTTTCGTGGTATTGAACCTTATGGTAAAATTTCATGGAGATCCATTCACTTAAACTAAAGTTAGAGTGCGAAAACCAATGTGTCTTCGGACGACGCCGGACGACGCCAGACACCGGCGACGACGACGACGCCAACGTCATACCAATATACGACCAAAAAATTTTCAATTTTTGCGGTCGTATAAAAATGGAAAGAAGATCAATCCACCATATTGTGAGAGGTTTTTCATGAATAGTAAATAGACCCAAATCCATCCTTCATATATTTATATTTTTTGTAAGGAGAAAATAATTTTATAGTAGAACTTGTCAAAACTTATTATTGAACCAGGACATACAAAATAAAATGCTCCGCTGGGGCGCAGCTTGATACAAGCGCAGAGGTCGAACCCTGAACAGTTGGGGCAAGTATGGACACAACATTCAAGCTTGATACAGCTCTGAATATGGATTGTGATTAAATATTTGACACAGCATAGGTTTCTGACACAGAATGAATGTGGTCTAAGAACTTAAAAATTTTAAATTGGACATTCACATATTATGGTCCAATATCCAAAATCTAAATACATGGTTAGATTCAGCACATCAAAGAACCCCAAGAATTCAATTTTTGATGAAATCAAACAAAGTTTAATTTTGGACCCTTTTGACCTCAATGTGGACAAAGTTGATAACAGGGCCCAAAAATCTAAATACATGGTTAGATTCAGCATATCAAAGAACCCCATATATTCAATTTTTGTTGAAATCAAACAAAGTTTAATTTTGGACCCCGATTTGGACCAACTTGAAAACTGGGCCCATAATCAAAAATCTAAATACATGTTTAGATTCAGCATATCAAAGAACACTAAACATTCAATTTTTGTTAAAATCAAACTAAGTTTAATTTTGGACCCTTTGGACCTTAATGTACTCCAATTTGAAAACGGAACCAAAAATTAAGAATCTAAATACACGGTTAGATTCGGCATATCAAAGAACCCCAATAATTCAATTTTTGATGAAATCAAACAAAGTTAAATTTTGGACCCTTTGGACCTCAATGTGGACCAATTTAAAAACGGGGCCCAAAATCCAAAAACTTAATACACGGTTAGATTCAGCATATTAAAGAACCCCAAGAATTCAAGAATAAAACCCCATTGAAATTGATCAAGAAATAAGCAATTTATAAGAAGTATCTTCTTTTGCACAATACTGTGCAATTGAATATTTCTTGCTATTGCGCAATACTGTACAATTGACAATTTCTTGCTATTGCGCAATATTATGCTATTGGATATTTCTTGCTATTGCGCAATACTGTGCAATTGAAGATTTCTTGCTATTGCGCAATACTGTGCAATTGAAGATTTCTTGCTATTGTGCAATACTGTGCAATTGAAAATTTCTTGCTATTGCACAATACTTATTATATAAAAATTTACACATCCTGTTTGGTGTGTATCTCCTACAATATCATTATTATTTGCTTTTAAATATAAATCAGAAATAACCAACTTAAAATGGAAAATTTTAAAAGAAAAAAAAAAGGAAAAAAGAAAAAAACCCCCCCCCCCCCAAAAAATTTTTTGAACCCCCTTATGATTCATCACCCCCAAACTCAATCCCAGCCTTCCCTTTGTGGTATGGTACCTTGCAGTACAATTTCAGAGAGATCCATACACTTGAACACAAGTTATTGTCTTGAAACTAGAAAAATGCTTATTTTTGGCCCCTTTTTGGCCCCCAATTCCTAAACGTTTCAGGCAATTACCCCCGAACTCAATTCCAGCTTTCCCTTTGTGATATGAAACCTTGTAGTACAATTTCAGAAATATCCAAACACTTACACACAAGTTATTGTCATGAAACTAGAAAAATGCTTGTTTTTTGCCCCTTTTTTGGCCCCTTATTCCTAAAATTTTGAGGCAATTACCCCCAAAATCAATTAAGCCTTCCCTTTGTGATATGGAACCTTGTGGTACAATGTCAGAGAGATCCATACACTTACACACAAGTTATTGTCTGACAGTTACAAAATGCTTATTTTTGGCCCCTTTTTGGCCCTTAATTCCTTAACTGTTGGTACCATAACCCCCAAAATCAATCCCAACCTTCCTTTTGTGGTATTGAACCTTATGGTAAAATTTCATGGAGATCCATTCACTTAAACTAAAGTTAGAGTGCGAAAACCAATGTGTCTTCGGACGACGCCGGACGACGCCAGACGACGACAACGCCAACGTCATACCAATATACGACCAAAAATTTTTTAATTTTTGCTGTTGTATAAAAATGCTTATTTTTGGCCCCTAATTCCTTAACTGTTGGTACCATAACCCCCAAAATCAATCCCCACCTTCCTTTTGTGGTATTGAACCTTATGGTAAAATTTCATAGAGATCCATTCACTTAAACTAAAGTTAGAGTGCGAAAACCAATGTGTCTTCAGACGACGACGACACCAACGTCATACCAATATACGACCACAAAATTTTTTTGCGGTCGTATAAAAATTTGTAAAAGGAACACCAGTAATACGTGGACGAAATTTTCAATCAGTAAGGTGCTAAGTGTAGACTAAGTTTTACTGTATTAGAAGATAACTGTGTTTTGTTTTTTTGAGGAGCAAAGTTTGCATGATAAGCTAAAGCCGCTGGCTTGCTACCTATGTTTCAAGTCTCATCTCTACCTTTAACAAAGTGCAGTGAGGTGAACATTCTTTAGATCATATCCATGCCCATTACGCAATTTATTGATAATATATATTCTCAAGAACTCTTTTAATACTCAGATAGATCAAAATCATTGTGCATGCAACATCAATTAAACTCCAATGATCATACAGATATTACTTACTGCTTGTCCCATGACAGGTGGTTGTTCTTCTCCTGGTTTTTCAACACCTCCATGAACAAAACTAGAATTGTGACTGTAGAATCTGTAATTATTCAAAAATATGGGTCAGAATTAAAATTCTTGGAGTATAAATAAAAAAAATTTTTTCTGAAACACACAATGCATATAACTTTTAAAATGCTGGGTCCAGCCATACCTTGAAACTTTCCAGGCGTACTGTTTGTCTGTACTCTTGAGAGTACATTTTGTGATGTAAACATGACCATACTTGTAAATTCATTTTGATAATCCTTAGTCAACTGATAATGAGCCCACCTTGACAACTATCAACATGTTCAGAATTTCTGCTTAGTTTGCATATTGATTAAATCAAGTGATTTGTCATCCAGTTTAGCATGGGGCATGATGCCTGACACAACTAAGTTTTCAAAAACTGGTTATTACTTTTGAGAATTGACATGTGAAAGGAAGCAGAACCTGATATAAATTACATGCCATTTCTTTTTTAACAAATGGATCAAAACATCTTTCTTATGGCATGGTAGAAATTATTTCAACAAGGGAAACTTGTCTGTAATCCTCTTTTCTTGGAATTGATGTTGGTTTTTTTGTTAAAGACATCATGGTAGAAAGAAATTTGGTATGATTTGTACATTTGATATTTACCTGTGAAGATGCAGTGGGGCCTCGTTTAGCAAGGTATAATATTGCCTCACAAATTCGCGGCCAACGCACTGTGGACTTGGGGTTTCCATAACCATGACTTTGTATTATCAAGTAATCTGAAAAATATGGTTTATAAGAATAAGTAGATATTTTCACTATTTCAGGTCTTTCTCATTAGGTTGTACCTTTTAAGTTCTAACTATTCCGTGTACCAACAAAAAAGGATTTGGTACAGGCTATCCAAAGCTAATTATGTATATACAACATAAGGTCAATGTCAGAAAAATAACTTTTTTGTATGAGGTTTAGAAACTGGGGAAGGGCCAGGATTTCCGGGCACTTCAACAGTTTGGTGCTGAAAACAAAACTAGAGGCTCTAAAGAGCCTGTGTCGCTCACCTTGGTCTATGTGCATATTAAACAAAGGACACAGATGGATTCATGACAAAATTGTGTTTTGGTGATGGTGATGTGTTTGTAGATCTTACTTTACTGAACATTCTTGCTGCTTACAATTATCTCTATCTATAATGATCTTTCTTGGCCCAGTAGTTACAGTGGAAAATATTTTGTAAAAATTTACAAAAATTTATGAAAATTATAAAAAATGGACTATAAAGGGCAATAACTCCTTAAGGGGTCAATTGACAATTTTGGTCATGTTGACTTATTTGTAGATCTTACTTTGCTGTACATTATTGCTGTTTACAGTTTATCTCTATCTATAATAATATTCAAGATAATAACCAAAAGCTGCAAAATTTTCCTAAAATACCAATTCAGGGGCATCAACCCAACAACGTGTTGCCTGATTGGTCTGAAAATTTCAGGGCAGATAGATCTTGACCTAATGAACAATTTTATTCTTGTCAGATTTGCTCTAAATGCTTTGGTTTCAGAGATATGAGCCAAAAACTGCATTTTACCCTATGAACTATTTTTAAGCCATGTCGGCCATCTTGGTTCGCGGGCGGGTCATCGGACACATTTTTTAAACTAGATACCCTAATGATGATTGTGGACAAGTTTGGTTAAATTTGTCTTAGTAGTTTCAGAGGAGAAGATTTTTGTAAAAGATTACAAAAATTTACGAAAAATGGTTAAAAAATTGACTATAAAGGGCAATAACTCCTTAAGGGGTCAACTGACCATTTTGGTCATGTTGACTTATTTGTAGATCTTACTTTGCTGAACATTATTACTGTTTACAGTTTATCTCTTTCTATAATAATATTCAAGACAATAACCAAAAACGGCAAAATTTCCTTAAAATTACCAATTCAGGGGCAGCAACCCAACAACGGGTTTTCAGATTCAACTGAAAATTTCAGGGCAGATAGATCTTGACCTGATAAACATTTTTACCCCATGTCAGATTTGCTCTAAATGCTTTGGTTTCAGAGATATAAGCCAAAATCTACATTTTACCCCTATGTTCTATTTTTAGCCATGGCGGCCATCTTGGTTAGTTGGCCGGGTCACCGGACACATTTTTTAAACTAGATACCCTATTGATGATTGTGGACAAGTTTGGTCAAATTTGGCCCAGTAGTTTCAGAGGAGAAGATTTTTGTAAAAGTTTACGGACGACGGACGCCAAACGCCAAGTGATGAGAAAAGCTCACTTGGCCCTTTGGGCCAGGTGAGCTAAAAATTTGATATTTCCCCGACATTGACCTTACATTATTTTCATACTGCAGCTAAAAATTGCTGCATGTACAATAACATTAGGAAAATGTTATCAAAGAATAAATTTAATAAAATGCTTCGCTGAGCGCAGCCTGATACGACCGCAGAGGTCAAACCCTGAACAGTTGGGGCAAATTTGGACACAATATTCAAGCTTGATACTGTCTTAATTTGGATTGTGATCAAATTTTTGACATAATATAGGTTTCTGACACAATATAAATGTGGTCAAAGATCTTATAAATCCATTGCGCAATACTGTGCAATTGAAGATTTCTTCTTGAAACTTTTCAAAAATTCGAAATTCTAAAAATTTTGAAAAAAAATATGAATCCCTTAAAAGAATTGGGAAAAATTCCCCCCCCCCCCCCCCCCCCCCAAGGCTTCCAAAAATATTTTTAGCCAGCCGGACATTTTATGTATTATCCCGATTTTAATCCCTCAAGACTAAATAAATAAAAGGCAATAATGGTAATCAATTGCCGAGTTGGCCATCTCAATGATTGACATTAAAAAAAAAAACGATATTAAACTTTCTTTGATTCAAATTCGAAGTTCTGACGTAAACTGTTAAATTGGCAGTGCATCATTCGAAGTGTGCAACATCAGTTTACTTATATCTGCTTAGACTCTTTATTTGTGCAAAATAACGTTGTCAAAAACTTTACTTTAGTTTTTAAATCTAAACCGGATGTTATCTTGACAATGGTAAAACATGGACCAGAGATGGAAACGTAAATTCTGTGTAAGTTTGCAAAGCATGAATGAGTGTAAGTAGCTCTTTCTACGTTATTTCTTCAAGAAAATATTCGAAATAAACGTGAGATAAAGGTATCAATGACAATTTAAGCATTTTTTGAAGAAATTAGGATGCATAATTAAATTTCACACCTGCACACATGTACTAGTTCAAACAGAGACATGTCTCTGGTTCAAACAACGTGGTTATGACGATTTTTCATTTTCACCTTTTTAATTTTTTCATAAAACATATTTGTAAACGTATTTCTGATAATTTAAATCTTTTTAACTAAATTGATTAGATGCAAACAGCTGAAATGTAAGAAAATAACTTTGAATAGACCGATCAATGGCCGGTTCAAAATAGTTAACCTGTCACCTGAACAGGTAAATTTCAGCTGTTTGACAACTAATTAGCCTTGATTAAAATGAGAAGGTATTAAAGTAGGGGTTGTTTTGATAGTACTTAATGATCATGTCACTTTTATGACCGGAAATGTGTGGCTGTTAAAGGCAAAAAGGTTGGGTCAAAAAGATCGTGAATTATGTTAAAATGACCGTCTCTTAAGCCTTGAAAACTAAAAAGTTGATGTCCGTTTAGCTTTGCCCAGCCGGACTTTTACCGGACATTATACAAATGTCCGGAATATATGACTGTTTTGGAAGCCTTGCCCCCCCCCCCCCAACTTTTTGAAACCCCCCTTGGAGCAATAACCCCAAAACTCAATCCCAGCCTTTCCTTTGTAGTATGGAACCTTGTAGTACAATTTCAGAGAGATCCATACACTTACACACAAGTTATTGTCTGGAAACTAGAAAAATGCTTGTTTTTGGTCCTTTTTTGGCCCCTAATTCCTACATGTTTGGGGCAATTAACCCCAAACTCAATCCCAGCCTTCCCTTTGTTATATGGAACCTTGTGGTACAATGTCAGAGAGATCCATACACTTACACACAAGTTATTGTCTGGAAACTAGAAAAATGCTTGCTTTTGGCCCTTAATTCCTAAACTGTTGGCCCCCTTACCCCTAAAATGAATCCCAACCTTCTACTTGTGGTATTAAACATTGTGGTACAATTTCAGAGCAATCAAAATACTTATACACAAATTATTATCCTGAAACTAGAAAAATGCTTGTTTTTGGCCCCTTTTTGGGGCCTTAATTCCTAAACAGTTGGGACCAGCATCCCCAAAATCAATCCCAACCTTCCTTTTGTGGTATTGAACCTTCTTAAAAAATTTCATAGAGATCCATTCACTTAAACTAAAGTTATTGTCCGGAAACCAATGTGTCTTCAGACGACGGCGCAGACGACGACAACATCATACCATTATACAATCCAAAAAAAAATTTTGCAGTCATATAAAAAGTTGCTGTACTATTATAACTTTATTGGGTCAAATATTTTCTTTGTTCCTTCTGTGAACTTGAACTGTAAATCACGGGCACACTTGAGTTGAAGAGGTTTTAAAACCAGCAGTACAACTGGGTCTTTTGGTTATTTTTGTTGCTGGGATGATGTTTAGTATATTTAAGCACCCATTATTCTCTCTTCTTCATTTATTTGCCCATTTTTCTCTTTCCTGAAGCATATGCAGACCATAAGCAATTATAATAAAATGCTCCGCAGGGCGCAGCTTGATACGACCGCAGAGGTCGAACCCTGAACAGTTGGGGCAAGTATGGACACAACATTCAAGCTTGATACAGCTCTGAATTTGGATTGTGATTAAATATTTGACACAGCATAGGTTTCTGACACAGAATGAATGTGGTCAAAGAACTTAAAAATTTTAAATTGGACATTCACCTATTATGGTCCAATATCCAAAATCTAAATACATGGTTAGATTCAGCATATCAAAGAACCCCAAGAATTCAATTTTTGATGAAATCAAACAAAGTTTTATTTTAGACCCTTTTGACCTCAATGTGGACAAAGTTGATAAGGGGGCCCAAAAATTAAAATACATGGTTAGATTCAGCATATCAAAGAACCCCATATATTCAATTTTTGTTGAAATCAAACAAAGTTTAATTTTGGACCCCGATTTGGACCAACTTGAAAACTGGGCCCATAATCAAAAATCTAAATACATGTTTAGATTCAGCATATCAAAGAACCCTAAAAATTCAATTTTTGTTAAAATCAAACTAAGTTTAATTTTGGACCCTTTGGACCTTAATGTACTCCAATTTGAAAACGGAACCAAAAATTAAGAATCTAAATACACGGTTAGATTCGGCATATCAAAGAACCCCAATAATTCAATTTTTGATGAAATCAAACAAAGTTAAATTTTGGACCCTTTGGACCTCAATGTGGACCAATTTAAAAACGGGGCCCAAAATCCAAAAACTTAATACACGGTTAGATTCAGCATATTAAAGAACCCCAAGAATTCAAGAATAAAACCCCATTGAAATTGATCAAGAAATAAGCAATTTATACGAAGTATCTTCTTTTGCACAATACTGTGCAATTGAATATTTCTTGCTATTGCGCAATACTGTACAATTGACAATTTCTTGCTATTGCGCAATATTGTGCTATTGGATATTTCTTGCTATTGCGCAATACTGTGCAATTGAAGATTTCTTGCTATTGAGCAATACTGTGCAATTGAAGATTTCTTGCTATTGTGCAATACTGTGGAATTGAAAATTTCTTGCTATTGCACAATACTTATTATATAATAAATTACACATCCTGTTTGGTGTGTATCTCCTACCATATCATTATTATTTGCTTTTAAATATAAATCAGAAATAACCAACTTAAAATGGAAAATTTTAAAAGAAAAAAAAAAGGAAAAAAAGAAAAAAAAAAATCCCCCCCCCCCCAAATTTTTTGAACCCCCTTATGATTCATCACCCCCAAACTCAATCCCAGCCTTCCCTTTGTGGTATGGTACCTTGCAGTACAATTTCAGAGAGATCCATACACTTGAACACAAGTTATTGTCTGGAAACTAGAAAAATGCTTATTTTTGGCCCCTTTTTGGCCCCCAATTCCTAAACATTTAGGGCAATTACCCCCAAACTCAATTCCAGCTTTCCCTTTGTGATATGGAACCTTATAGTACAATTTCAGAAATATCCAAACACTTACACACAAGTTATTGTCATGAAACTAGAAAAATGCTTGTTTTTTGCCCCTTTTTTGGCCCCTAATTCCTAAAATTTTGAGGCAATTACCCCCAAAATCAATTACAGCCTTCCCTTTGTGATATGGAACCTTGTGGTACAATGTCAGAGAGATCCATACACTTACACACAAGTTATTGTCTGGAAGTTACAAAAATGCTTATTTTTGGCCCCTAATTCCTTAACTGTTGGTACCATAACCCCCAAAATCAATCCCAACCTTCCTTTCGTGGTATTGAACCTTATGGTAAAATTTTATGGAGATCCATTCACTTAAACTAAAGTTAGAGTGCGAAAACCAATGTGTCTTCGGACGACGACGACGACGCCAACGTCATACCAATATACGTAACGACCAAAAAATTTTCAATTTTTGCGGTCGTATAAAAACAGGAACATTGATCAATAGATTCATTAGGCCAAAAAAAAATATTTGTCTGTTTAAGGTTACATACTTTAAAAAAATAGGGTAGGTAGGTCGGTATTTCCATTTTATTTTTTTTGACATGATTTTGAGTCATGCGATTTCGTCTTGTCGTGGTCCGAGTTAATCATGGGCAGAGTTTACCCATATATTTAATGATTGGATTATTTCCCTTTGTTATTGGTTGGAAAAAATGGTGGCAAAGTGTTTATTTCATCACATGAGTCGTGAATTTCCTTAAAACAGCTGTCATATTCACGATTGTGAACATTGGCATGTATCAGGCAATTGATTTATAACATTTTAAACATAAAAGGCATTTGAAATGTAATTAGCCAGTTCCTGCCATGCCTTAAAACTTTAACCAATGCACAGATTTGTCTGTTCTCCGAGTAAAATTTTGTGGTGTAAACACAGCCATATTTTTCAATTCCTTCTGATGAACCTTAATAACATAAACATGGTAATATAGAAAATTTACGGCAAGGTGCACAAATATGAAAGTCGTCTATTGAACAATCAACTCTTACTGTGGAGGAATATATCTGTAAATATCAAAAATGAAATTGACAATTTATAAAAGTTTCATAAATGAAGCACATGAATAGACCAATTTCACTTTTTTTTAAGAATTAGTTATGCCGTTTGACCCTGATCAATTGGATTAAAAGACATCACTGAACAATACACCTTATCGCTATTTGTCCGCCATTACTGGATATCACACAGGTTCCCGTAAAATTTTGACGTCATAAAACAAAATATCTGACGCCACAATGGAAAAGTGATTGTTGTTGACGTTAAAAGTTCAAGCGGCCGGGTCAGCCGGGAATAGCGATAAGGTGTATCCATGTTATAACTTAAAGCATGGACATCGGAATGTTCTGGAAAATGCACCAATGTGACAGTAATCTATCCAACAAACTTTTAAGTTAAATCTGAAAATGAATTTGGATTAAGTTCAAGATTAACTTTTGACAAAGAGTTGATTAAATTTAAAAAGTCGAAAATCACTTCCTTTCAGCAAGAAAATGCAAAGTATTCTTCATATACATTTTTATGTACATGATATAACTCACTAAAATTACATACTGTTTCGTGGAAATAAACTACAATATTTTGTTAAGAATTTCTCGTGTGTGAATAGTTAGTTTGATTTATAATCCTGATTGGAGAGTATACACAATAGACACAGGGTAATATTAGCTAGAAAAGATTTTTTTCAGAGTACATTGTACATTTCTTCACAAGAGTAAATAATACGGTTTTGAAGAGTAGTTCTAACAATAAATAATCACGATGAAGAATTGTATCACTTGTTTTTTCAAAGGATCAAGGAGATATTACACAAAAAGATTTAATATTCAAACGCTAACAAAATGTAAATTCTGAAAGTGAAAATACATCACGGAAGCCATGTCTGAACACACGAGGAAAAATACCGGTCTATAGTTTCACTGTAAATTATCAATTTTTTGACGTAAACTTACCTCAAAAATGGTGAATTTTTGGTGATATGTGAATAAAATATTTACAAATACATTAGAATACTAAATATATGGATCTTAAAATGATAAAATATTGGATTTGACGTCCGTAAAAACTACGAAGAATTGCACATGCAGTGTGCGCAGTGAGGTCCTAAATTAGTCAAATATTGCGCACATAACGGGGGCACCCTGTGTGCCAAAATGTATACCCCAAATCGGAATTACTATGTTCAATGTTCCATTTCTACAAAGAACATACTATATTTTTTTTATTTTAAACTTAAAATTTCGATAAAAAAAAGAATGGTTCTCTTGTAATAACTGAAAAACGACCACCGAAGTCTTACCTTTAACCTTCAATGAAAATGCATTTCTTTGTTTCTCTGCTAATAAGGATCAGAATGGGCACATAAAAAACAAAAACAGATTTTAAAGAACGGTTTATATGAGGAAATGCCTACCAAGTCAGGAATATGACAATTGTTTTCCTTTCGTTTGATGTGTTTCAGCTTTTGATTTTGCCATTTGATAAAGGCCTTTCTGTTTTGAATTTCTTTGGAGTTCGGGATTTTTGTTATTTTACTTTTTTTGTACACTCCCACCCGGATTAATAGTTGTTTGCTTGATGCCGGTCCACTGAGTGGCAAATATTTTATACATCAAATAAACAATTAATACAATACAGATAAAGACAGGTGTAAGTATGAAATAACCATCGTGAAATTATGTTCAGAAACTTCAAGTAATGAGTTCATTAAAGACTTAAAACAATTTTTTAAAAATGAAGATATCTTATATATAGAAACACAACTTGAAATGTAAATGTAGCCTTAGCCATTTTGTTTAGTTTATTCAAGAATGTGTTAGATAAACATGCTCCAATTATTACTAAACGCGTAAAAAGAACTCACTAATCAGATTTGCACAATGCCCGGATGATATTCGACAAGTTAGAATAAACGAATACGAATAATTTTTCTCATGAACATAATCGTTACAGAGATATTAGCATACAATTATAATACAATAATAATAAAGCATGCTTAAACAAATATGAAACAAAGACAGTACATCTAATTGTGTATGTTTAACACAATTTAACTAACCAGACGACACGATCGATATAATACATGTTTAATAAATCTTGCGACTTTTTATAATACAAATATATCAGTTGTTGAAAATAACTGATTAAATTTTACAGTATTTGCATTTTTTTTTACAGTATTGCGGTAATAATTTTTCCTCTTTGAACTAAAAAAAGTTACAGACTAGAATATAATGGTACTCATCACCTATTTTATTTGAGTCACATACATTACAGGTTCTTTCGCCTCTGTGAATTTTATGCCATCTGCCGGCCGATTCAATGGGCAAAAGATGACAGCTACATCTGAATTTACATAAAAAAATACATTAGATATGAGGGTAGTATCGACAAATAACACTCAAAACAGGACTCATTCTTAAATATTCTATAAAAAATTGTTTTACTTGTATTAAAAATGTCAGACGACCATTCTTGCTTAAATTGGGTCTTTAAGTCGAAGTTCTACACAGTTTTCTATCCAATCTGAGGAAAAATAAGACTGGAATCTCCATACATTTGATAGACCACAATTATCAAAAATACTTTTAACAAATTTCAACCATTTGCTTTCAATAGAAATAAGAAGATGTGGTATGAGTGCCAATGAGACAACTCTCCCTCCAAGTCACAATGTGTAAAAAGTAAACAGTCTTATGGCTGAGACATATAATTATACTGACCAAGTTAATCGCCTTTATTCAGATTTTTACTTCATACTTCTAACAGAAAAACTGTTGGGAGATCGATATTTTAAGCACACAATGACATACCGTAAGTATTATTTATAAACACAGATTCGAGCTTTGAATTATATTTACGAACGATGTATTCGTATATATTTTATGGGTAAAAGTTTCCATCTTTGTGAAATTAATCTTTGATTAGAGTAACTATATCTCTTGTCTTATGTTTAATTTTACGTATTGCTACCAGGCGCGGACCCAGGATTTTATGTTAGGGGGCGCTCCTGAGAATTATGAGCTATTTGGCCATATTTTGAAGGGGAAAAAAAATGGTTGTAATTTGATACCTTAAGAATACTTTTTTTTCGGCCGGGGAGGGGGGGGGGGGGGGGGAGGTTGCACAAACGACCCCCGTCTGAATCCGCGCATGGATACTGCTAGATAAGAAATATGTCAAACGAATTAACTCTATGTTCAATGTGCCCGATTCTTGTTAAAAATTTCTTCATTTGCATAATCTGCATTTAACTTTTAAGAATGTATGCAAGTGACGAAAAGACAAATAACAGCTAATATAAATAAGAAGATATGGTATGAGTGCCAATGAGACAACTCTCCATCCAAGTCACAATGTATAAAAAAGTTAACAATTATAGGTCAAAGTGGCTCACACCGAACAGCAAGCTTTAAAGGGCCCCAAAATGACTAGTGTAAAACAATTCAAACAGGAAAACCAACGGTCTAATCTATATAAAAAAAAACGAGAAACGAGAAACACCTATGAAACACACCAACAAACGACAACCACTGAACAACAGGCTCCAGATTTAGGACAGGTGCATAAAAATGAAGCGGGTTTAAACTGTTTAACAGCCGCCAACCTTCACCCTAACCCGAGACAGTAGACTAGTGTAACATTACAACATAAAAAGACACTCTATAAAATATCAATTGAAATGGCTTAAGTCGATCAAAAAGTCATTTAAACAAAAACAAGTAAACATACACTCAACGAATAAGTTTGATCTATAACACAATATAAATACAATATTAAAACGTAGGTGCCTATATAACATAGACGTTACAGGTAGTAATAAAAAAAGATGCAGGAAGAGTGTCAATAAGACAACTCTTACCTGGGACAAAATGGCGTTAAATAAAACAACGTACACATGCAGGTACATTTGAATATAAAAATTGTGTTGTTAGGGGTACGGAAGTAAACATTTTTACAAAATTAATAAATTTGTTGTTCAGAGTACGAGTACAGAAGTGAAAATTTATCGTCATACTAAATACGTATCAAAGGTGGTACATATTAAAAATAATGAGACGAGATATAACACAAAATAAGTAAACATTGAATTAAAGAAATGCATTACAAATTGTGTCAACAGGTCAAATTAACACGAAAGTACGATTTGAGAGTATTCGCAGTTACTGAAAGCTAGGTAAAAGCCAAAAACAATTAACAATAAAAAATCATGCATCAGAGACTAAAATCAATTTAACGCCATGGACAGTCAAAGAAGACATGACTTGTGCAATGCCAAACTAAAGTATCGACAGGCAGTAGGATCGCGTTAGGATATAACCTATAATAAATATGTATCATGTTATATATAGGTAAAGCAATCTCTAAATAGAAAATTAACATGGATGTGTATATTTTTACATCCCAAAAACCATTCGAAAAGAATACAAATTTAGTCATGTTTTAATTTGTTGATGACAAAATCGATGTTAGTGCCAATGTAAACAATATTCAAAGATCTTATTATAACATTAATAAGATAAACAAACGTTACTAATAAGTTTGTTTAAAGGGTCGATGAGTTTACACGGATCACATAGTGATTTCCGCGCTGTGCAATATTACCGTAAAATTAAGGATGTGAAATACCGTTTTTAATAAGTTTTCTACATGTACAGCCAAATTTACTAATCAAATCTTTGTATCTATGAAAGAGTTTAGAAAATGTTTTAAGCAATTTATGGTAACGAAATCACTGACTTAATAATTTACTAGTGATGCATTGATTAATATGTTCGTTAAAATCTATGACATCACTACACACACGGGCATAACGAACGAGTTAGGATATATAAACACCGTATAATGGAACCAAAGGAACATCGCCGTCTAAAAAAAGAAAATAAACAATAGGGAATTACTGAGTTTGTTTACTGAGTTTGGCCATAAACTGTGATTCATAGCAATACAGGAATAAATCTGCTATTACAGGGGCGCAATTAGTGCCCATAGGAATACCTACTACCTGTCGATACACTTTATCGTCGAAACGTACATATATGTTGTCCAGAAGAAAATTTAAAGCTTCAATCTTATCTGCACATTTCCAGTAAGTGTATCTAGCATACTTTCCCTTTTCGTTACAGAAAAAGGCTTTCAACGAGTTACAGCAAATAAATTTGCAATGAGGTTTTTCAAACTACCATTTAATTAAATATGAAAACTTCTTGTTCTTGATTAGATTGTGTGGAAGTGTAGTGTAGTGAGTAGAAAAATCATAACTGTCAACAGAATTAAAAAGACCACCAAAAGCACGTATTTTATCTAAAACCTCTACAGAATTTTTAACACTACAAAAATAAGTAATACCATTATTTTCATAAACTTTATTACAAAAGTGAATAATAAGTTCTTTTTATAGTAGTAAGGGAGGTAGATAGAAGCACTGATAGATTAGAAGTAGAACAATTACTAGATGCCGAGATGGAACGAAATTTAAATGGTTCTTTGTGTAATTTAGGTAACCAGTACATAGTCAGGACTTTCAAATGTTCGGAAGAGACTTTAAACTGGGTAGTGGCAGTGATATGCTTGTTTACAATTTGACTCTCTGTGGAGCGTACGGACCTGAATGTAGAAGAATTGGAGAACTTCCGTGTAGTATATGCGTCACACCACCACTACATTATTGGCTGCTTTGTCTGCCGATACGAACACAAACCGCTTTGCGAGTACTTGGAGTTTATTTTTTATTCTAGAAATGGGTATATCATGAACCCTATTATTCATTTCAGAATTGTTTTCAAAATGAGATATACGAATATCAACAGTATTCATAGTTTTATTCTGTTTAGAGAACGATGTTGAGGTCTCCTGTAATGACATGACCATTGGGAACATATCTTAAACTAGATGTTTCACAGTCCCAATATTTTGTCATTGAGACAGAGAGGATAAGCTGATTGAAGTCTGTTCATCCAAAATAGTTCGCGAAACGGGATTTTTCAAATTGTTTGTATGATTGTCCTGGTTGTTTCTGTACGGTTTCAAGTGGTTGGAATTTTATAAATTTTAGATTGTGATTATGCTTATCTAAATGTTGGTATATCAAACTTTTGAATTTTTTAGGTCTTCGAAAGC